GTGTGTGTGTGTGTGATGAACACACTTCCTGCAGTAAAGCGATGTCATGATTTTCTCTCTGCAGAAGATCAGCGATCATCTCATAACGTTCAGAACAGTGATGACTGAAGAACCGGAGTCCCCTAAACACACACACATACATACACACACACACACACAGATTTCTTTAGTTGAATGAGTCACATGATGATTTCAAAAGAAAATTCTGCAAATTGACAGAAACACACACTCACTCACTCACTCACCAGCAGTTCAGGGAGAAAACACGCAGTTTGACAGGAAGCTCAGTTGCCATGGTGTTGATAGAGGCTTGGTGTTCACACTTCAGAACTCAGAACTACCGACTGCAAACTTCATCACAGAGCAGCTTATAGTACTGCTAAACCACGCCCCCTTACCCACACTCCAGAGATATACACGCTGCAGACACATGCACATGCGTGCACACACACACACACACACACACACACACACACACACACACATACATATTAAAGGGGCAGTATAGTAAAAGTGGCCGTTTTTTTACAGTCACAGACATTTTATACTGTACATAAATAATATATTTGCATATTATTTGCATATTATACTAGCACAGACTAACGCAGTGGCTCATGACCAGTGATCAGATTTTGGTTTTACAAGACGACATAAATATCACCATAGTCTCAAACTACATGAAGTCCAGACACCTATCACACGTGGCTTATGCTATAGGCTAGTATTTAGTGAATTTTTAAGAAGTAACACTTTTTCTTCTTTTTCTCAGCCTTTGTGTGGTGAAACTAAGTCACTGTGGCACATATGCACGTACCTACGCATATGCATGGACATTAACCACTTCATAATCCCTCTTTCCGTCTCCTAATCTTCACAATACACCTTACAATAGAAATAGTTATGTACATCACACACATTGTCTGCACTTATACTCTGCCTTTATCTGGGCAAATGCAGAGTATTTTTAAACTAGCGCAATTTAAAACAAAACCCTGTCTGCTCCTCCTCCCCGAGTATGGGGCCGCGTGATTCCAGTGGGTCTCTATTAACTCTTGTTTATTGCAGTTCCCAAGTTTGACCACTAGGTGCAATAATAGCACTATGGAGCTAAATGAGGCAGTGAGCATGCTACACCATGATTGTACAGCTTTTAGAAAAGCAGCAAATCAACCAAACTTATATCTGTCAAATAAACAAATTAATGTTTTTAAAATAAATGGTCACTCAAAAGGAATAATTAGAATTTAAATGCAATTTAAAATGTATGGTAATGTAATGTCACTGCAATGCACCCCCCCCCCCCCCCCCCCCCCCCCCCCCCCATTCCACACACACACACACACACACACACACAGATACTGCTGTGTGTGTTTTAGCCCTTTACCCTTCTAAAACTCAGAAATATACACATCACTGACCTGGAGATCAGAGATCAACACACACACATAGATAAGTATCAGCGTATGTAAACAGGATATTGATGAGGTATCAATTGGTTTGTTAGTTAGTTAGTTTGTGGGTTTCACAAACAGACTGAGACCACATCAATACGAACCTACATCAACCCCCCCAACACACACACAAACACATAGTGTTGTAACAACTCACCATTATTACAAACTGAATTTTGAAACTCTTTTGCTGAACTCACTGATCTGTTTTCACTAAAGATCAGTTTGAGTTCAGTAATGCTTTAATAAACACTGTCGAAAAGCAGCTTTACAGAAATCTAGATGTACATTTAGAGTTCAGCCATCACACACACACACACACAAACAAACAAAACCACTGAACAACATACACACACACTTCATGCAAGCAGCCTGTTGTTGTTGTTCGTATTCTTTTTGAGTTTTGTTTAGCCAAGTCTAGACACAAAATTGTTAAGTTAAAAACAACAACAACAACAACAACAATAATTATTATTATTATTATTATTATTATTATTATTATTATTATTATTATTGGCATAGAAATATCTATAAAATGGATGCTTTTCTTGTGCTGTAATTTGTAGCCACACAGGCATGTAATTCTGTACTAGACCACAGCAATGTGTTTACTGCAACTATTAGCTTTTATGTGCCATTTGTCTCCACAGAGTGTCACTAGATTAACATTACTGAGTGGTCTATCATGAATAACATCATGTTTTAACAGTGATTAACAGAAAATATGTTATTTGAGAAAATATAGTAATTTTAAATTTTAATCACGATTACACCTGTGAGTTTATTTCAAGGTCCAGGACTAGTGGTTAGGCCACACTGCTGCAGCCCAAGTTTGATTCCCAGCCAGGGAACCAACTCCAGCCACTGGCAATAGTGCGCTCTCAGTACCGGCCCCAAGACCGGACAAACTTGAGGAGGGTTGCATCAGGAAGGGCGTCCGGCATGAAAACTGTACCAAATCACATATGCAGACCAATGATCCACTGTGGCGACCCCTAACGGGAGCAGCCGAAAGAGGAACAACAACACCTGTGAGGTTATTTCGATATATGCGTAACAGTAATGGAGCTAACAAAAATAACATCTGTTAACTATACATAATCAACCAGGTTGAGTTTATTTATTTATGACTATTATAGAAGCAAACATAACCTGATCATTATCAGCCGACCACACAGGAGATATATCACTAACTTGATTTTTAAGCAAGCAGCAGGTTGGATATCAAATCAGCAAGTTCTGTGTGTTGCAAGCTGAAACTTTAATATTTAAAATGCCATCACAAGACCGGAATCTAAACCAAAATGTTGGGTTGTTACCAATTTAACCCAATAACAAAATAAACAACTCAATTAATTATTTACTAAATTAATTAAACTAAAATAACTAAACTACAATTTACATCCTGAATCCATTTATTTCTGTGAAGCTGCTTTGTGACAATGTCCATTGTTAAAAGCGCTATACATATAAAATTGAATTGAATTGAACTAAACTACCCAATATGTGTAACTCAGCAGCTGGGTTAAAAGAACCCAAGATTGTGTATCCATGCTCATGGTTGTGTACTACCTGTGTCCGTTAGTTAGTTAGCTAATTAGTTAGTCCTGTGTAGTCTCATATAGCTTTGTGCTGTTTATGTAGCACCATGGTCCTGGAGGAACGTTGTTTCATTTCACCGTGTACTGTACTGTACTTGTATCTGTGTTAGTGTTGCGTACTTGTTTTAGGGTTGTGTGCCTGTGCTGAGGTTTTGTATCTGTGTTAGTGTTGCGTACTTGTTTTAGGGTTGTGCACCTGTGTTTGGGTTGTGTACCACCTGTTAGGGTTGTGTATCTGTGTTTGGGTTCTTTATCTGTGTTGGGGTTGTGTACTTGAGTTGGGGTTGTGTTTCTGTGTTTGGGTTGTGTACTACCTGTGTTTGGGTTGTGTACCTGAGTTGGGGTTGTGTTTCTGTGTTTGGGTTGTGTACTACCTGAGTTGGGGCTGTGTGCCTGAGTTGGGGTTGTGTGCATCTGTGTTTGGTTTGTGTACTACCTGTGTTGGGGTTGTGTGCCTGAGTTGGGGTTGTGTATCTGTGTTTGGGTTGTGTACTACCTGTGTTTGGGTTGTGTATCTGTGTTAGTGTTGTGTACCACCTGTTAGGGTTGTGTACCACCTGTTAGAGTTGTGTATCTGTGTTAGTGTTATGTACCTGTGTTTGGGTTGTGTACTAACTGTGTTAGGGTTGTGTATCTGTGTTAGTGTTGTGTACCTGTGTTAGGGTTGTGTGCCTGAGATGGGATTGTGTATCTGTGTTTGGGTTGTGTACCACCTGTTAGGGTTGTGTACTATCTGTGTTAGGGTTGTGTATCTGTGTTAGTGTTGTGTACCAGTGTTTGGGTTGTGTACTATCTGTGGTAGGGTTGTATATCTGTGTTAGTGTTGTGTACCTGTGTTACGCTTGTGTGCCTGAGTTGGGGTTGTGTACTACCTGTGTGTGGGTTGTGTGCCTGAGTTGGGGTTGTGTGCCTGTGTTAGGCTTGTGTGCCTGAGTTGTGGTTGTGTACTACCTGTGTTGGGGTTGTGTGCCTGTGTTAGGCTTGTGTGCCTGAGTTGCGGTTGTGTACTACCTGTGTTGGGGTTGTGTGCCTGAGTTGGGGTTGTGTATCTGTGTTGGGGTTGTGTATCTGTGTTAGTGTTGTGTACCACCTGTTAGGGTTGTGTACTGTGTTAGGGTTGTGTATCTGTGTTAGTGTTGTGTACCTGTGTTTGGGTTGTGTACCAGTGTTTGGGTTGTGTACTATCTGTGGTAGAGTTGTATATCTGTGTTAGTGTTGTGTAACTGTGTTAGGGTTGTGTGTCTGAGTTGGGGTTGTGTATCACCTGTGTGTGGGTTGTGTGCCTGTGTTAGGCTTGTGTGCCTGAGTTGGGGTTGTGTATCTGTGTTGGGGTTGTGTACTACCTGTGTTGGGGTTGTGTGCCTGAGTTGGGGTTGTGTACTAACTGTATTGGGGTTGTGTACCTGTGTTAGTGTTGTTGCACTACCTGTGTTGGGGTTGTGTACCTGTGTTTGGGTTGTGTGCCTGAGTTGGGGTTGTGTATCTGTGTTTGGGTTGTGTACCACCTGTTAGGGTTGTGTACTATCTGTGTTAGGGTTGTGTATCTGTGTTAGTGTTGTGTACCAGTGTTTGGGTTGTGTACTATCTGTGGTAGGGTTGTATATCTGTGTTAGTGTTGTGTGCCTGAGTAAGGGTTGTGTACTACCTGTGTTTGGGTTGTGTGCCTCAGTTGAGGTTGTGTACTACCTGTGTTTGTGTTGTGTGCCTGAGTTGGGGTTGTGTGCCTGAGTTGGGGTTGTGTGCCTGTGTTAGGCTTGTGTACTACCTGTGTTTGGGTTGTGTGCCTGAGTTGGGGTTGTGTGCCTGTGTTAGGCTTGTGTGCCTGAGTTGGGTTTGTGTACTACCTGTGTTTGGGTTGTGTGCCTCAGTTGAGGTTGTGTACTACCTGTGTTTGGGTTGTGTGCCTGAGTTGGGGTTCTGTATCTGTGTTAGGGTTGTGTACTACTAGGGTAGTGTGGGTAGCTCAGTGGTTAGGATGTTGGGCTACTGATCAGAAGGTCATGAGTTCAATCCCCAGCACCACCAAGCTGCCACTGCTGGGCCCCTGAGGGAGGCCTTTAACCCTCACCTGCTCAGGTGATAAGATAAATGTAAGTCGCTCTGGATAAGAGTCTGCCAAATGCTGTAAATGTACTACCTGTGTTTGGGTTGTGTACCTGTGCTTCACTGGCAGTGGCGAACATACTGAGACCTTCTACACTATATACAGAGCATCATCAGTCCTCAAACTCCACCTCCTCCGAAAGTCAAATCTGAACATCACTGTGTTAAAGTTACACACAAGCTTCCACAGTAGTGTGTGTAGATCAACTTCCTCTCTGACCAGCTGCCTCAGTCTCAGGGATAATGCAGACATGGTGGTGGTGGTGGTGGTGACTTGTTTTAAAATTTAGGCTCTAAAAAATCTGATTCCTTTTTTTTATTTCTAATTTTCAGAGTACTGGAAAGCTGCCTGTGAAAGTCTGTCACTTTAATGGCGCTCTCAGTGGAAGGCTGTGGAATAAAACCGGATTTATTTAATAAAATAACTCACACCGTCTGCTCCGGTACACACACACACACACACACACACACACACACACACACACACACACACACACAGCTGTCTGCTCCTCAGTGCGGTGGCCAATGAGAAGCCGCAGACGGACAGAGTGAGCGCGAGCTCGGCGGTGCATTGTGGGAGATGTAGTTTCCGGTGCCGTTGTGCCCAGTGAGCGCGCGCGGAGCGGAACTACAGACAGGACATCGCGGCGCTGTGAACTCTGTAGTGCGGGTCTGACCTGCCTGTCTGTCCGCTACAGTCTCGTGCCCGTTTAATCCGCTGATCTGTGGAACCGGAACTGGACAGCATGCAGGCGGAGTCCGGTATCGTTCCGGACCTGGAGGTCGATGAAGAGTTTACCGATGAACCGAAAATTTACTACGAACTGAAGAGTCAGCCAATCAAACACAGGTCAGTGCGGCTCACGCGCTCGCTCGCGCTCAGAGTCCGGTAATACCGAGTACCGCGGTACGCGTGGCGGCACGGGCGGGGCGCGAGCGCAGAGAAACAAAAAGTTGATTCGGTGTTAAAAAACTTTTTACAACTTTTAGCGTTAGTGATTCGGGCCGAAACTGATCCTGCGTGTGTGTGTGTGTGTGTGTGTGTGTGTGCGCGCGCGTTAGGATTAAATATGTGCGCGTGTGCGGTTTGCAGCCTGTCTATCTGCTTAACAACAACAATAATATAATAATAATAATAATATTAATAATAATAATAACAATAATTTAAGCCTTTATGTGAACATTTTTGTTGAATTTTGTTCAAATGAAAAAATGTAAACAAGGAACAAATATAAGGTGAAAGCTGGTGATTTTTTATTCTATTAGAAAAAGTCGAGATGTTCGTTTAAAATCAGCTGATAATAATTTATGTTTATAGATTTGTAGAGTCTGTAATAACGCAGAATTTAGAGGAACATTATAGAGGAACTGAGAGCAGCCTGTTCTTTCTTCTTATGTACTGAATGTAGTTTTTTTTTTTTAATTAATATTTAATTAACATTTAATTAACATTAACATTTAATTAACATTTTCAATATTAAAATGTAATTAACTGAACTGCAGATGTTAAAAGTTCAAAATAAATAATTGATTAAAAAGTTAACATGTGAGATGAACTATACCCATCAATCTTATTATACATATTATATATTATATATAAAACCTTACAGAAGCTGGGGGTGGGGCTGGGGCCAGGGGGCGGGGCTTGAACACTGATAAACATGAGGTATATATTAATATAAAACTGTTTTCACTGACCTCTGACCTCCTGTTATATAGCTGAGATTCTGTAACTGGACTAAAGTCTGATTCATGATGAAATGTAAAACTGTTTCTGCTTCTTCATAACACAATTCACTAAACTAATTTCCTCATTAGTGAAATTTCATTACACACACACACACACACACACACACACAGACTGTAAAACCCCCAGAAAATATTAAAAGGTGGAAAAATTAATTTTTAGTTTGTTTTTGACAGTAAGGCGAATCAGTGAGTCATTTTTAATCACAAGGTTCTCTTAAACTTCTGCTTTTCCCTACACTGTAAAGCTGTGTAACATTTTAAAAACCATTTAACACACATAATAATAATAATAATAATAATAATAATAATATAAAGAGTTGAGCATATTTATTTACTGTTTAAGTAGAATAAATGCAGGCAACTATTAATGAAAATAATCCATAATCCAGTAAACACCATGGAACCATTATCACCCTGTGTGTGTGTGTGAGGGGGGATTCCTGAAGGTCAATAAAATTATTTATAGCTGAGACTTTTTAGTCATGTAGTCATATCTGTATCACATCAGGATAAACTGTGTGATTTACTGTGTGTTACTCAGTACTTGTAACTGAAGTTGCCACTGCGGTGCCTCCCCCTTCTAATTCTCACACACACACACTCAATGTGACTCTCCAAGGGCGCTTAGTGCTCCTTCACTCAAGGAAACAATCATGGCGTCTGCATGAGCATTCAGCGTAAACACTGTCCATAAAACCCACATGTAAGTACATCTCTGTGTGTGTGTGTGTGTGTGTGTGTGTGTGTGTGTGTGTGAGAGAGAATTAGAAGGCGGTGGCACCACAGTGGCAACTTCAGATTGTGTGTTAGTTAGCAAGAGTGTAATAAGGCTAGTGAGTGTTGATGAATGTATAAGTGAGTAATTTTTATTCAGTACAGTGTGTGTGTGGGGGGGGGAGT